ATGCAAATCCATCCATCCATTTTCTACACACACTTATTGTGGGGTCCCAGAGGGGCCGGACCCAGGATTCAAACCTGGAAGCCTGACTGTGAGATGAATAACCACACACAGCCCACATACACACAAACATACACACACTCAGAGCTTGTTTTATTACTGAAGTCATTCCGGTCAGCTCTTCTTTTGTGCCAGTGATCTCCACCCAGCTTTCCTTCGTTTGGAAGCTATCCATCCCTTTTCACCCACCAAACGTGAACCGTTTCCTCACCTTGAAGGAACCAAACCTGGTTCTACCACCCTCCCCCCGCCCCCGGCTCACCTTGGAGACAGATGGCGATGCAGAAGTCCACCACCCAGCTGACCAGAGCCATGAGCAGTCCCAGCAGGATGAGGAAGATCCAGTCCTCTCCGACCCGAGAGATGAGAAACTTCTGACAGCGGACTGTGCAGACTGCAGGGAGAGCAGGAGGACATCACATGAGGGGGGGCTCGTGAACCAGATGTTGGCTGAGTTTCCATCCAGCTTTTGAAAAAATATTTTTTTTTTAAATTATCGAACATCCCACTGATTGGCAGCCCATGGAGGCTGACAAAGATATTGTTCAGCTGACGCTTTATTTCTGATTTCTAATAAAAAGTAAGGAAAAAATAAGCTGAGAAAATTAGAGGGGTTCGTTTTTTCTATCTTTTTGGGTTCCACAACTAACTGCATCTGGTTGACAACTGAGCAGTTTAAGTCATAATTTGTGCACCTAGTTTACTACTACTTTAGTTTAGCTTGGCTTTCTGCTTCAGTTTGCTCATTTGCCCTTCTTATATCAAACTTCCCTCTTTGGGCTTATTCCATTTTGTATGCTCCTCGTTTGGTTTGCTTATCTGCTTCAAAGTCACTGACAAGATTAAAATTCATTTGTAAGACTGAGTTGGTTACAGTTGTTGGGAGATAAAGAAAATTAAAACAACATCATTAACTTATTTCAGAAGTTAATGATGACTTTTGATCAAAGCTGGGATGGAGACTAAACCAACCGTCTACTTCTAAGTTACGGCATAAAAAAAAAAAAGGCAAAAATGGCTGACTGCATTAATAACACGGTCTATGAGGCTGCAGACACAATGCAAGACACAGAGTTACAACAGAGCTGAATGCCAACTCACAGATACTGGCACGAATGAGCAAAAATATCCACACAGAGACGTGAAGCGGGGGGGGGGGGGGGGGGGGGGGGGGGGGGGGGGCTGTACTCACCCGCTGGCCCCGGAAAGCCTCCCACTGCTGACCAACTGTGCCACACTGGGTGTGAGACAGCACACAGGGCTTTATCACCACTGGTCTTTGGAACTCAACATCAGTTTGATGGCGACGGTGCCTCGTTCTACCCCCCCCAACCCTAAACCCCCACGCAGATGTTGCACAGTCAGCAGAACAGATGTTCTTCTGCAACTTTCAATATGTTTTGAGCAACCAAAGCTGCCGATTTAATTTCAAATGAGGCAAAAGTGGGATTTCAGTTTTTATTTTAATCGCTGATTTATTTCGACAAAACATTTCTCAAATCGAGGTCCAAAGGCAAAAGCAAAGACTTGCTGAGTTTGACAGGTCTGTTGTGGAGATGGTTCTGCTGAGGTCCACACTAAACATCCCAAAAAACTGATTAGTTCTGGGGTCTCGGATTGCTTTTGATGGGGCCTGCCGTGCTTTTTCTCCTCATTGGACTGATTTAGACTTTTCGGGCACAGATACTATTCATCCTGTCATTCTTTTTGTTTTTCCCAATTCGAAAATCGTGAACATACCGAAGAGCATACTGAACGGGACACAGTTCCATTTTAAAGGCAGACCTGTTAATGCTGACAAAGCGGCAGTCAACAGTCAACAACATCTCCAAACACTATCAATTAGGATTTGAAAATCAAATTTTTCTTATTTATGAGCCAAGTGGGCAAGACTAGATACGTCTACAAGCCAGAGATGAGCAAAAGGAAAAAGAAAAACACACTTTTTTAAGAAAAAAAGAAAAGATAAAAAAAGAAAAACACACTTTTTTTTAAGGAAAAAGGAAAAAAAAATAAAAACACACTTTTTTTTAACAAAAAAAAGAAAAAAACAGAAAAAACACACTCTTAAAGTCGCGTTAAGGCAAATATCTGCAGGGATGGCAGGGAAGATGCAGATACTCCCGCTTAAACACACACATTCTCCAATCAACACCTTCAGGAGCTGTATCACACACACAGTTCCTCCAAAAGCTGCGACCAACACTTTCACAATTTATGCGCGCACACTCGTTTTTGTCTCGGCTTTCCTTCGCTGCGCAGACACTTGTGTGTCAAACGGGAGAGAGGGCCTCTCACATGTGTATATTTAGATGTATGTGTTGTGTTATGTGAGCATGTGTGCGCTCGTGCGTCATCTCACCCACGGGCCGTCTGTGTTCTAGGACCCCTTCTGTCATCGAGACACTAGTCAACATAAATGAGCGCATGTGTGTGTGTGTGTGTGTGTCACATAAGTGTAATCTAGTCTCTCTGGGGGTGTAATGCAGTTTGCGTGGTCTGTGCTGGTATTGCCTAATGGCCTTTTTTTCTGTACGTGCACAGACACACACACACACACACACACACACACAGACACACACTCCTGCAGACTGGCGGCTGCTTCTTTTCTTTGGTGTGTGTGCAATAAGCTGTAGTCCAGCTTTCATTGCCTTCCACCGCCTCCGGACTCATCCTTTGCATCACCCCCCCCCCTCCTCTCCCTCATCTTCATCTTTTTCTAATCAATCAACTTCTAACTTCACCTCTAATCTTCTCCTCCCTCTCTGTCTTATCAGCAGCCCTTCACTCCTGCTTTCCACACACACACACACACACACTCTTTCTTTACACTCCCTCTTTGTGTTTTTTTTCTCAGTCTTGCTCACTCTCTCTCCACACTTAGGCTGCGTGGCTGTCTCCAGAAACAGTTTAGGAGGCGTTCGGAGTCTACATAATGGCTCAGGTAGAGGGAGGAATAGTGCAAAGGGGGACACTGATCTGCTGAGAGCAATTTTGGTTGGCTTTAGATGAACAACTCATCCAGTTCGACATCAAAATGCCGATTGGGTTAAAAATAAAATTGTGATCAAGACTAATCAAAAGGCTTTCAGGACATAAAACAGTGTTTTCTGGAATCATTGCTCCGGTCTGAGAAAACTTAGCTTTACCAGATGTCCTTATTTGAATCAAAGCAAAATCCTGGTTTAATTTGACCCGGTTAACTTTCAAGCCTAGATTCAGTTTCTCTCCAGTTAAAAAGTAAGAACAGAGCTTAAAATCTAATTCAAAGTTGGCCTTTTATCACCTGATTTACCTCCTCCATTCAGAATTTTCTTTCAGAGACCATGAACTTGGTTTGGTTGACAGTGTTGAATGACCAAAGCCCTGGACTTGATGCTCCCGCAGTAAATGACCACCTGTGGTTTAGAATATTTTGAACCTTTACAGTACTGTGTGCAGTGGACAAAAAGGGTCTGCAGAAAAAAATATTGGCCCTGATCTTCCCTTTATTCAGGACCTGTACAGGTCCAGGCAAAGAAAAAAAGTCAGAAAAACATCTCATCAGGCCCGTAGCATCCTGGGAATAAACTCTTTATGGACTGCTACCTTCAGGCCTGCGATACAAAGCTCTGCTAGCAACAAACAGCCACCACAGAGACGGTTTATTCCAAGGAACAGTGTGCAGTAACCCAATATCAACTCATTCAGCTCTGATAACAGTGCACACTTACACCAGCCAATGTCAGTTTGGAGCAGTAGCCCACATTCCCCGTTTAAAACTTTCCCTTTCTATTTGCATTTAGTCAAAACTGGCCAAATAAAGAAGATTGTGATTGTAAGTATTCTGCTAGATGATAACTGTATATGCTTTTTATGCAGAAAGAACCATTTCTTCAAAATAATTTACACTTCCGAAAATAATAAATTAGTTAACCTGCAAGTGGCTCTTTCTAAACTGGTTCTTTAAGTAAACAGCAACTTTTAATGAACATGTAGAAATGCCAAAGACCGAAAATCCCTTATATGTCTGAGACGGTTGGATTAAACAGTGAAAATGATGTCAGGAGGAAGCCAAAGTCAACGCACGCCTTCTAGTAAAAACCACAACCGGTGCAGATTCAGGGCCAGCACTCAGGCCCGAACGCAGTTATTTAAATCCCCCCTTCATTTGTTATGCATAGTCAGAGCTATATATGGGAGGAAAGGGGAAAGGGGCTGACCACTCATGCATCTCTGCACTGTCATGGTGATAAAGCCTGCCCTTTTTATGGATGCAAGTGCTTAAAATCCAGTATGTGGCTTGTAATTTCATTAAAAATGCTTTGACTTGACACGTTTCATTAGATTACAATGAAAATAAGTGGAAAGAGCACATTGACCATAAATTAAAAGAAGGAAAATCATCGTAAGCTGTGAAAGCAACAGTCTGGAGATGGACACAGAAGGTCACTTCCCTCATCAGAACATTAGACGTCGTGCCATCAGACCTTTGCTTCAGCTGTGTGAAAGTTCACCAGCGGCTGTTCATAAACGCCGAGTCAGCAAATTCAAACGTAAAACGCACTGGACGAAATGAATTATGTAAAAGTAGTTGGCAATACTTGGGAATCAAACGGATGGCATAATAATAAATCCTATAGTTTGCTGAATCTGCTGCAAAAGGCACCAGTCCAGGAGGGAGTCAGAAGGTGTGTGTGTGTGTGTGTGTGTGTGTGTGTGTGTGTGACTAGTACACATTAGAGAGGTGCTCGTACTGTGGACTTTGGGTTCCCCAGACCCATATTTCCTTGAATATATACCACCACTATCGACAGTGCCTATTTCAGTGAAAACAGCAGATTTTTTTGGACACAGCAGAATAACCAGTTGAAATATTGGGGAGAAAAAAACAACATAGCAGCTGGAGGAGACTCAATAAAACCTCTGAGGAAAGCCCAGGAGCTAACAGAACCATTTGGCCTATTAGGAGACAAAAGGAATGCCGTTGGAGAAATCAAACAACAGCCATACTCGTGCAGATGTTTGCTCTGGTGCCTAATGAGGCCCCTCAGAACACTCTGACTGCAGCATCTCTGGAGCTCCTACCCTCCCTTCCTACCCGTTCATCATTAAACTGTCTGTTCGCTTTCCCTCCACCCCCTCCTCCGTGCCGATGTGTCGTCTATGCTAATGACATGTAAAGGAGTGATGTTTATGTAAATGTTCTGTAACAGCGCCTGCATTAGTCCCCGGTGAGCAGGCACAGCTTTTTTTTGTTCCCCTCTCTGAGTAGTGACTCAGTCTCATGGCGGCAGTACAGTCTGTGCCCGCGATGAGCAATGCGCACGTTTTCACCATGCAAACAAAAATAAAACCATCTCCTCAACTCTAGATTCAGGGACGCGTTTTATTTCCGACAAATATCAAACGGCAGCGACAGGAACGGGGTGTTCTGAACTTATGTGCTCAGTGAAATGGAGATGAAAGGCCGATGAGATCATTAATGTTTTATAGCTCTCTACAAGCAGCAAATATGGCTTCTGTTTTGGGGTCTGAGCTGTTGGTAAGCAAAGCATTTCTGAGTTTGAATGAACTTATTTAGACCGGAAACACAAAACTCCTTTAGAACTTTTTAAAATAGCTTTTGACAATCGAGCTTCACTATAATTTTAACAGGATTTTCCGTCATGTGAGCGTTAAACACCTTCTCCGCAGCATTCTGTGGACTCTGAGGGACCATTCAGTCCAAAAACAATCGCCTTGATTCTTCTCTTTCAGACTTCTGCTGCGTTTGGATCTGTGTCCTGTCGGTGAGTCAGAGTCAGCCCAGCTTTAGCTGTGGGACAGATGGCCTCCCATCTGACTCTGAACACTTTGGTGTCCGGCGGACTTCATGGTGGACTTTAAGAACCCTGGTGCTGCTGAACCAGCCCAGATCATCATCCCTCCCCTACTGTGCCGACAGCTGTTCTGAGCTCTTTGTGTCCTCCTGACCAAACATCTCCACTTTGATCCACAACTCTTGGTTCAGACGGAGCTCTGCAAACCTGTTCTTCTTCTGGAGAACTAACAATCCATACCCGTTCAGTCGGTTTGTAACTAGTGATCTTCCACTTTTAACCTGCTAACTGGCCAGTATAATCTGAAATGTGGCTCCTGGGTTTTTGACCTAAGGGTTACCTTGCTGGAACATCCACTCCTGGGAAAATTGAAGGCTGTCCTGAATGTTCTCACCTGTGGATTTTCTTAGTGGAATGGTGCAATTGGTTGTTGGGTCTAAATCAGGGGTAGACGGCAATCGTCTTCTAGAAGATTCATGCATGTTTCACAAACTGCAGAACTTCACAATGAACTAGTCCAACTAAAAAATAACTGCATTTGAGTAAACCAAATTTAAGCTACATGCATCCAGCTGCTTTCTCCATGCCTCTGCTGCCAGAGGATTAGACAGATTAGTCTGTTCCGCAAACAGAAAACCAAACTCAAACCTGGGACGGTTTGTGAATTATGACACTGAGCTGCTTTAGCCCATTAGTCAGAGACTTGATCAGCAGCAGAGGGACTAACTGTTCGCTCTCCGACGGGACAAAGAGTGGCCACTTTGATTAAACCAAGATCATTTTGACCAAATCCGGTCTCCCATATATCACGGAGAGCAGAGCTATATGTCTCCCTTAAGGAATCTGAGAAATGACCCCATAATAATTCCCTTTTCAATAATGAGTGCTTAATGAAGTGAACACTGTAGCTCATTGCTTATATCTCACAATCACAGTTACTACACAGCACTTCTAGTTGACACCAAAAGGTACCCACGATGCCTTCTAGTGCTACTGATCTCATTTTATTCTTTTATACTTGTAATGGAGCTAAACTGGAATTAACTAAAGTGGTTGTGGAGAATTGAGACAACAGATGAAGCTTTATATTTTTGTGTATGCTCTATTTTGAAGACAATATTCTTTTTTGAGTATAAATACATCGAAACATCTCTAAATATATAAATATTTTATACTTGTAATGGAGCTAAACTGGAATTAACTAAAGTGGTTGTGGAGAATTGAGACAACAGATGAAGCTTTATATTGTTGTGTATGCCATATTGTGAAGAAAATATTCTTTTTTTAGTGTAAATACATCAAAATATATCTAAATATATAAATAGAAATATTGGTCCATCTTGGAATGAGGCTGGCAGTAACAAAGGAATCACTTTGGGACCAACCATCCGTTCTTGGTTCATTTCTGGGGCTCTGGGTTCGGCAGGCTAATTACGGTTTCTCCTTTTCAACTCTGAGCCCCCCAGCTCTGAACATTCCCCTTCAACTACGAATCCAGCGATCGATAACATTTCTCACCGTTAACCTCACACACTCTCAGGATCGATACCCCGGCCCCTCACGTCATCCTTAACGAATGAATTAGGGGTCTAAGGCTAAACGATTTCTTCTTCCTCACACTCTTTCCCCGAAGTCACTGCGGTCCTCTGTCTCCTCCGAGTCTGAAAACTACAGGGCGGCCACCCTAACCCTGACCCCTTGTTATTAGTTGCAATTAGCTGGTAAATCAGTTTCTTTTGGAAGCTCAGAAGTATCTTTGAGGAATGGTTCCTGAAGCTTCTCACGGAACGCCTGGTTCACTCTATAAGGTGTACACCACAAAACTCCTGTTGTGTACTTAACGACAAAGAGACTGTGTGTTTAACGGGACAACACACCATAGTGCGCACCGTTTCACTACAGGCTTTCCCGAAGAGGTGTCGGCTTAAGTAAGGAGCCGGGAGATTAAACCATTACTTGTGTCGACACACTGGAAGAGGGATCTGGAGTTAACGTGTGCTGGAGAAAACTCTGTGTTGTGAACGCGTTGTCATGGTTACCCATTTCGTAAAGGCTCAGCCAGTTTTAATGTTCAGAGAAAATTCAGTATGCCACGGCTTTCTTAAGTCTATCTCAGGAATAGCTGGACATCTGGACATGTAGCATAAAGGCACTGAGGGATGGGGCTCGTGAGAGAGAGGCCGATCTTACACAAGATTATTTCCTGAGCAGTCTCTCTCCGCCTCTCTGTTTCTGTCTCTATTTCTTTTACCCAACCCCCCCCACCCCCTCCTCCCCTCTTCAGAAGCTCATCATCAACTTCCCCTTCATCTCTTTCGCTCATCTCTCATGTTGACTCTCCCTGCCCGCCACAAATGATGTCTCCATTTATGTTCCGCATCCACAGGCTTCTCCCGCCTTGGATTTCATTATAGATTCTCCCCCCGATCCACACACAGTCTCTCTCTCTCTCTCTCTCTCTCTCTCTCTCTCTCTCTCTCTCTCAGTCTAACTGAGACACACATCATGCCATTGCAGAGTCAGCACTTCCATCCTGCAGCACTCTGCAGACATCCCAGTGTGCTGATTTCCACTTTTATTCCCGGCTCCGGTTCCAATTCCATGCAGCTTCCGTATGCACCACGCAGGCGTGCCTTCATACATGTGAGATAAACAAGAAAAATACCTCATCATCAGCAGTGGAACGAACCAAATACTGGAAAAACTGCCCCCTAAAGACAGGATGCAGAAACATATAGGCACAGAGCCCCGTGAAGGCAGCACTGAGTGAGTGTCCATTTTCTGGAGGAAAAAAAAAAAATCGAACAAAGAAGCATTCATCATGTGTTATGATCAATGGTACCTCTCTGCAACTTCCACCGCCTAATCAGAAAGAGCCATTTCCGCCCTGTCACACACGAAATACACACACAACAGATGATCGGATGGTGGTTATTACTCCCATTAGGGGCCCGGGGCCGGCCGTAATGTGGCTGAACTGGAGGAGGGCGTCGTTTCTACTACACAGACGCAGCAGAAATAGAAATTATATGAATACGCAGGCTTTTTTTTTCCTTCTTCAGGTTGGCTGTAGATTAATGGAGTCCACAACCTCACTGCGCACACTTTTAGCTCCTGGGTGATCATTGGTCAACTATGAGGTCCAAGACTTGTTTTTTTTTTCTTTCCTGAACACAAACATTTCCGGTTAAATGAGCAGAGGCCGACAGAATTAATATATTACAAAGCAACACGGGAACACTGCAGCAACACTTAATGACCGCTTAGTAAAGATTAATGATGGAGAAAAGCGATGCGGCTGTAGTACTGCGAGGTTGGGGTTTGAGGGGCTGGTTTGGTAGCTGGGGAGGAGGCTGGGAATGATACAATTGTTGCTTTGTTTGTTTACCAGACATAAAGTCCCGGGCGGGAGCCTCCAGAACATACGGGTACCCTGACCCTAGAGGATAAACAGACCATATGACACATTTTTTACACAAAACACAAGCAGTGCCACACTCTCCGTGCTAGCTCCTTTTTCCTTACAATGCATCCTTCATTTCACTGCCCACTGGAAAAGAAAAGAAAAAAAATCTGTTTTCCACACGCCATCATTATTTGGTGATTGATAAGCACACGGCTCAAACTCAGCAGCACAACAAATGAACAAGCAGCGAAGGAAAGGGAGGAGTGATGGAGGAATAGAAGCCCAGAGGCAGAGGGCTGATGAGGAGAGAGAGAGAGAGGGGGAGGGAAAGAAAACTTTTTATATCAAACCGTTAGCACACGGGAAACTTTAAAAACAGGCAAGAAGCTAAATCCAAAGTCATTTGCAAAGAAAAAAACTGTAATGTAAGTGGACACATCAAATCAAAACATTGTAAATGAACTAAAAATCTATCAAATGGAATATTTATTAATCCCAAAACAGAACATTTTAAATTGCTACAGTATGAACTGGAAAGATAATATTGCATTTCATAATTAGCACATTATTTTTTTTTAAATAAATTGAATTAGTCAGTATGATGTAATTGAGCAGATTCTTGACTTACAGATTATGCATCATTTCAAGTATGAAATTCTGTTTCTAAAGCAGGAGCTAAATTATGCCAAACTGATCTGCAGAACAAATTACCACGAAGGAAAGGAACGAGAAAGCT